CTGCGGCTCGCGCGGAACTGCGCGCGGAAAGGTGGCAGAGGGACCGCTCCAGAACGCTGCTCGCGTAGACACTGCCTCTGCCTTCAGATCCCAGTTCGGCCGCGCGCGGGCGGGGCCCTGGCAGCAACGAAAATGGCGAGTCTCGTAGCCTTCCGGGCCTGATGGCCGCATTCCGGGAGTCGCCAGGTGGGAGTCCGCCTTCCGCGTCCCCAAACGCCCAGAGCCCGGGACACGGGCCGGCGGCCGGGTGACCAAGCCGGTTCCCCGCATGGGCTTGCGCCAGAATCCATATTCGGCTTGCAAGGCCCCCTCCGGCCGTCTCTCCGCAGAGCGCCCTGCCCCACACTGCCGGCCCTCTTAGCTTGAAAACCAAATTTTGCCTTTGATCCTGAGAGATTGATACCCCACAGGTCAAACCGTGGAGACGGAGCTGCGGTGGGTTTCTTCTCTACGCCTCAGTTTCCCCGTCTGTGAAATGGGACCCGGCGCGCCTGTGCTCCTCCGGGAGTTTATTGCAGGGCTGGCTGGAGAGAATGGCTGGGTGGAAGCCGCCAGGTGGAGGCCCACGGTCGCCCACCCCGTGGGCCTCGTTTGCTGGGCGGGGGTCAAAGGCTTGCGAGGCAGGGATCGCCCCAAGGAGGCTCTGGAGCCGGCCCTGTCCGTCCCTGTCTCCTCCCCTCGCTCCCCTTCCCCCGGCCTTCCCGGAACTCTCTTCGCCCGCTGGGTGGAGGAGGGGCGAGGGCCGGCTCAGCCGTCCCCGGGGTCGCTCTCCTCCCACCCCCACCGCAGAATCTGGCCCGCCCTGGGCTTTCCTCTCAGGTCCCTTTGCGTCTCCAGAAACCCGGAGGTTTCGCGCAGACTCGAGCCTGAGATGGCATCATCCAGCACCCCAAATCCTGCGGAGGGCGGAGGGGATTTGGGGGAGAAGGCAGGGGCTGCCAGGGGCGCTTTGGCTACTGGGGGTGGGGGACAGGGCCTGCGGGGGAAGGGGGGGGGGGAGGACTGGAGACCCAGGCCCCCCTAGATACAACGAACCTCGCGGGAGGGAATACGCCATCCCCGTACCCACTTCCAAGGACGTAGGTCTTTTAGTACCGGCGGGCCGCGTTCCCACACATCTGGGCGGGGCCCCGCAGCATGGCCTGGGGAGCTGAGGCTTCTGGAGCTGACACAAACTACCTTTCTGGGTGTAGAAGGAGGAGGTGGGGTGGGGGAAGCAGGGGGCCGTGGTCTGAGCATACCTTCTCGCCTCTGGGCCTCCCACCTCCTGGGGCAGGACCTAAGGGGAAGGACGGGAGCGGGTGCGGTGGCCGGAGGGACACCCAAGGGTCTACCCCTGCGAGCTTTGCTTTCTACTAAACCAGTAACTGTAGTGGTGGTGGCGGTCGAGACACAGCTCAAAGAGCCGGCAAGAATAGAGCAGACACCAGGATCGCCCCAGGCAGGGAAAAAATGACCAATTCTGTAGAGTGACCCCAAGGTGATGGAATCACTCAGGCGTCCTCCTGGGAAAGGGCTGCCTGCCCCCGCCGCCAGAACGCTGCCAGCGTCCATGCCCCCGGGGCTGGAGAGAGCAGCCAGGCACAGGTAACTCAGGAACTCTGGTCTCCTCACCCGGTGCTGCGCTGTGGGGCACCCTCACCCCTACACTTTGTGTCCCTGGGCCTCCTCACCAAGGCAGGGGCCCTGAGTGGCAGGGACACCCCTGTGTGCACAATATGCCCCCTGCAGCCCCCACAGGTCACCTGTTTGAGGACCTAGGTGGGGCCTGCCCTGGGTGAAGAGGGCAGGTCCAGCCTTCAGCAGCCCCTCCCCCATGACTTCAGTGGAATTACAAGGGGAACACCCAGGGCAGCTCCCATAGGCTGCAGAAGGGAAGAGGGGAGGGCTTCTACCGAGGTGAGACAGAGTGATCCACCCCTCCCACACCATCAGCCTCCCTCCCCTCTCCACCCTTCATTGCTGGGACCCCAGGGCCCATAGACAGCTGGGGGAGCGGGGAGACAGGAGGAACTCAAGCTCAGCTTCTGCCTCCTGTCTCCTGGGACCCTTGAGCAGCCCCTCCAGCTTCCTGGGAGTCCAATTCCCCAAGGTACAACAAGTGGCGGCAGAGCCTGGCCCCGTCGTGGGGCGGCTGCACCCAGGTGAGTGGCTTGCAGTTCCTGGAGCCTTGCAGGTTGTTGGAGAGTCAGGGAGCCTTTCTTCCTCCCACCTGCCCTCTTGCACTTCCTCTCCCACAACCCAGGGCTACTCCCAGAGGCTCTGAACTGGAGCCCTAGAAGGTAACCACCTCGTGGCTGGACACAGAGAGGGCAAGCTGGGGCCAGGAGTGAGGATAGGTGCCCTAAGAGCCACCTGCTCCACTCATCCACGAAGGCCTTAACTGGCTCAGGGCTCCCTGAGCTCTCAGTCAAGCCCCGCCCTCCTGACCTTGTCCTGCCCTGGTGCTGCCAGTCAGGTGGAGGTATCTCAGGGCCAGCTGGTCTCCTGACAACTGAAGCCCACACTTCCCTTCCATTCACTCATTCCTTCCTTCCCTCACGCAGGAGGCGCTGCAAGGCTCAGTGCTCCTGGAGCTTCGAGTCTATGATATGAGTTAGGGTGTCTCCTCCATCAGTTCTACAGGAGGGTGTCTCCTCCTTCAGACCTGGAACTTCCAAGGCATTTTACCCAAAGCTCCAGCACCTGACCCAAGGCTGGGCTGTGCTCTGTCCTCAGTGAAAGAATGGATGAGTCATAACTGAGTGATTGGAGAGAGCTGAACGAGTAGGTTTCCCTGGGTTTTCCACAGGCGGTTTCAGCCCAGGGGAAGACCCAGGGAGATGAGGACGTCATGGTGTGGGGGCAGCAGCCTGGGGCAGGGACTGTGCTGAGTGCCTGAGGCCGAGACACCCCTCTGTAACCTCCATAATCCATCAGGTCTCAGAGGGCTGTCCTATGTTCAGTTAGCCAATGCCAGCACCATATGACGAGGACACAGCAGTGAGGAGCTGCCCAGGTCGCTTGCACTGTGTTTGGAAAAGGAAGCTGGCTTGTTCTGGGGTCCCCAGCAGGATGGAGAGCAGGGGTGGGGACCCTGGCAGAGCGAGAGTTCTAGGAGAGAAGCTGGTCCACCCACAGGCTCCCTGGCCTGAGTGCCGCACCAGGCAGGGTGCTAGGCGTTGTGCTGCTCGCTTCCCACCCCTGGGCTGCAACTATGGGCTGTGTGGCCTTCCCAGTTCTGTGAGGTGGCTGCTGTGATTGTGCCCACCTTACAGATGGGAAGACTGATGCTCAGAGACTTGAGCAACCTAGGCAAGGACCTGTCCTTAGAGGCAGAAGCAGTACTCAGAGGAAGAGCTCCCTGACCACAAAGCCCCAGGTGACTTACACTGCAGGGATAGAGCTCTCCGGGGTGTGCAGGGTGGCAGAGGTGCCTCTGAGAAGAGATCTCTGCCTGGGACCCTTTCCTGGGGCTCTTATGGTGCTGGGAGTGTGAGCACCACAGGAGCCCCACTACAGCGATGCCACCCAGAGGGCGCTCTGGCCTATTGGTCACCCGTGTCCTTCTGACAATGACCAATACACTTATTTGCCAGGGTCCAGGAAGACTCAGGCACTGGAGTCTGTATTTCCTGAGTCCGCCTCTCACTGGTAAGTCCTGAGCCCCCTTCCTTCCCAGCACCCACTCTTGGAGCAGCTCTCCAGGGCTGTGCTGTGGCTGCTGCTGTCAGGGAGAGGCCCCATGCTCCAGCCAGGGGCTTTAGGGGCTCAGTTTAGGACTAACACGCCAAGCAAGTCGTGCTGAGTGTCTGGGCTTCTTCTAGGAAGGTATTTCCAATCATCAAATGTGCCACTAAAAAAAATGCGTGTCAGTTAAGTGTGCACTAAGCCTGGACCACATGGGACATAGTTGTTCTAATAAACACGAATAAGCCAGTTTTCACATTAGAGAAATAACAGTTTCTTGTAGAAATGTGTGCTTTTAAAAGAGGTTAATTAATAAACAGCAGGTAATTGTTCATGGCACATTGTGGCAGAGGGTAATTTTCATTTTAGAGGATGGAAGGGCCAAATACCCCTCCCCACTCAGCATTTTTCTGTAATAATCACCTCAGCTTCACCTCCGCCTTTCATTTTTACAGCTGGAGCTGTTTATCATCGCTCCAACTTTCACTAAAAAGGAAAAACTATCACTTAAACAAAGCCATTGAAAACCCAGCATCATATGTGGATTTTTTAACATAAATAAATCATACAAACTAAGATTTATGTTCTTGGAATGATGTCATTCATTGAAGGCTGCCTTCCCAATCAAAGCCGTGTTTAGTGGTTTTTCTTTGGTGGGTGTGCTTTTTGCTAAATAGGAAAAACCCGTTCGGTCATCCTTGCTGCTGTCTTTTCTCAGCTTGGCCCAGAATATCAGAAAGGTTTCTCCCTGGGCCAGTCCACAGAGCCAAATGGTGAAAATGGTTTTAACTCCATAGACTGCTTTTAAAGCCTTTGCTGTTGAACCGTAAGTCTGAGATGAAAAGACTGTTAAACCTTCCCTAAGAATGTTTGCAGGACACAGCAGAAGTTTATGGTCCTCGCAGGTCTCCCAGAGCCTAGAATGAATCTTGCTGCAGAGTAACACATCTGCAGAAGCTTCACTGAGTTGAAATGAGTGAGGAGCATTGAAATCAGCACGCGTGGATAAATAAGATGTGGCATATCCATGCAATGGAATACTATGTTGCCATGAAAAGGAGTGAAGAGCTGACACTTGCTGCAACATGAATGAACCTGGAAAACATGATGCTCCATGAAAGAAGTCAGTCATAAAAGGTCACACATTGTGTAATTCCATTTATATGAGATGTCCAGGATGGGCCAATCCATAGAGACTGAAGACAGATTAGTGGTTGCCTGGCTGTAGAAGTAGAGGCAGTAGTACCCTGGCCCAGTGAAGGCACTGGGAACAGATGGGCCACACCAGAGTCCAGCTCCGGCCCTCCAGGCATTGACAGGAGACTATTAGCTGGAAGCCAGTGGGAAGTCGGGCTGACTAATAGGGACAGGTGTCCAGGAGGCTGCAGTGTGAGGTTTTCATTTGTTCAAGCAACGCACATTCACTGCGTGCTTACTATGTGCCAGGGACAGCCATAGGCCCTAAGGCTGCAGCAGTGATGGAGACAGATGCTGCTCCCATCAAGGTCATGTTTTGATGGGGAAGGCAGCAATAAGCCAAATACATGTGGGTCTGGCGTGCCAGGCTACATGATTCTAGTGCAATGGACCTGAAGGAGGAGAAAGGTGAAAGCACAGTCTTCAATCAGTTGTTCAAGAAAGGCCTCACTGAAGTAGTGACATTTGGGCAGAGACGTGACGGAGGAATGAGGGAGTCACCCAAGAGTCTGGGAGAACAGCACTGGGGCAGAGGGAACAGCCAGTGCAAAGGCCCTGAGGCTCCAGTGACCAGTGTGGCTGGTACAGCAGGACGAGGAGGGGAGGAGGGGAAAGCCCTGTAGAGTGGCAGTGAGAGGACAAATTAAGGCTGAAGATGGAATTAAAGTTGCTCTCTCAGCAGATTTTAAAGTAGGGAGATAATTCTGGATTATCTGGGTAGTCTTAATGTCATCACAAGGATCCTTAAAAGTGGAAGAGGGAGGCAGGAGAGTCAGGATTAGGATGAAGAGGAGATATGTGAGAATATAAGGAAGATTCCTGGCTGTCCTGGCTCCGAAGACAGAGGAAGGGCCCATGAGCCAATGTATGTGAATACCGACAGACTCTAGAGGCTGAAAAAGGGAAGGAAATGGATTCTAGAGCCTCCAGCAAGGAAGGCAGCCTTGCCCATGCCTTGACTTTAGGACACTGAGATCCATTTCGGACTTCTGACCCACAAAACCAAAATCTAGTAAGTTTGTGCTATTTGAAGCCGCTAAGCTTGTGGTAATTTGTTAGTGGTAATTTGTTAGAGCAGCCACCAGAAATTAATATGGGGAGGAAATAGGGATTTCATCTGTCCAGGGTCAAGACATCCTGGGGGTGGTAAGAATCTGAGCCCATCTCACGTAGATGAGAATGAGAGCATGATGACCACAGAATAGTGGTGATGGCCATCCTCACATCTGGCTCCATAGCCACCCATGCCAATATAGATTGGCTGCCTTCTATGTCCTGTCCATGGCCATTCTCTAAGGAAATTCCCTTGCATCTCCTGCGACCTTTACAGACTACATATTTTGTTGGATTACTTTCTCATTTTCACGAAGCATATCTTCTAGTAACATCTGATAAAAGATGTGTAGGAGATAAATATTTTAGGACTTCCACGTACCAGAATGGTAGTTGAGCTGGGTATGGAATTCTAGATTGGAGATGATTTTTTTGTTCGGAATTTTAGATAATGTTGCCCCATTATCTTCTTGCTACCAGGCAGCTATTGAGAAGTCTAGGAAGATTCTGTTTCCTCGGATTTTGTGTGCAATGTGATTTTTCCTTTTTGGAATTTTATAGAATCTTCTATGTCCCAAGTGGTCCAATATTCCACAATGATGTGCCCTAGAATGTGTCTGTTTTCATCCACTGTGAGTTCTTTCATACTGAAAACTTGTGCCCATTAGCTCTGGGAAATTTTCTTGAAATACTTTGTTAGTTATTTCCACTCTGTTTTGTTTCTTCTTCATTTTTGGAACGTGATATTTATATGAGCTTTCTTCTGCAGATATGATCTGTGTGTCCTCCAAATGGCTTTGTTCTATCTGTTTCAATCTGTCTTTCCTGAGGCATCTGCTGATTATTGGCTTTCTGCCCATGATGAGGACCTGACTGGAAGTTCTGACAGTAAGAGAGGAGGGGTTCATTGCCCTTGAGACTCATGGATGGGGGTGATCCTTGATCCTTGGATGTCAGTATCTTTAGGAACTGACCTGATTCCCAGAGAAGTTACTAAGGGAGCAAGGGAGGGGTCTGGCTGCCAGTCTTCTTGGAGTCAACTTGGAGTTAAAGGCAGGAGTCTTTGCAGTCAGCTGCCTGAATTCTGGGAAATAAACCTCTGGACTTTTGCTGGTGTCAGGGAGGGGTGGTCTCTCAGGGAGGATAAGAAGGGGATAGGAATCTAACTTGATCACAGGTCCCCTTCACTCTAGCCTTCCTGATCATAGCCACTCTTGCACCCCAAGTCCTAGAGGTACTCTTTCTTTCTTTCTTTCTTTCTTTCTTTCTTTCTTTCTTTCTTTCTTTCTTTCTTTCTTTCTTTCTTTCT